TGAATAAAGATAATATGAAAATATATCTTAGCTGACATATTTCGACCTCTGATGAACTTTATTACATTTACCTCGATAAAGTCTATCAGATGACGAAATGTTCGACTAAGAAAAGTTTTCCTTCTTTCTTTCTTCATATTGTCCTTATACATACATGCATACATACATATATATATATATTCTATTAGGGGTAAGTTTTGTAGTTTTCATTAGTTTTCACTTAATCTAAGATTTCTGAAGTTGATGACAAACGGGAATAAGTTATAAGAAGTCACAGCAGACAATCCAAAGCTTTATTCACCTCGTTTCCATGTGTCCGTGTTTGTAATTCTGTCTGTGATATACAAATACTTGTTATAGTGTTCGGTTCTTGTGTGTATATGTGTGTGTTTGTTTATCTCATCGGATCTCATTTAAAATAACGATTACAATAAGTTTTCTGAACCGAACCATTCATGCGAGTCGTTTGAAAATTTATTTGTTTTTAATTCTATTTCTCCTTTACATGTCAGGGCAAAGATAAATAAGAAATTTATTTCCGAACTGTTTCGTTTTTACTCTCTATTTATCAGAAGTGGTCATTGTCTTGATAAAGAATGAAACACAACTGCTGATGGGCTAACATGAAATAGGAAAAAAAATTAACTGAAACTTTAAATCTACGACATCTAAGCTGTTTCATGACAAATCCAGAGTTTTTGAGAATATCCCAAGTTGCCTAACAACTTAAAATGAAAGAGTATAAATGCAGAAAAAATAATATATTAATAAAATGTCCCTTCTGGGCGTAGGCGGTAATGGCCCTCCACATATGCACCTAATAGAAAATAAAATAAGTGGTCATATTTGTTGTTTTAAGTTCGTCAGTCTTTAGATTTGATTTTTTTCAATCTCACTTAAAGATTCTGTTCATCGAGGAGATTCTTACATGCGAAAAAAACCGCTGCTGCTATATATATATATATATATATATATATATATATATATATATATATATATATATATATATATATATATATATATATATATATATATATATATATATACATAAAAAAAAAACACACACATTCGCGTACTTATATATAAATGTGGGACTTGCGTAGATAGATAGATAGATAATTAACAGACTGATATATATATATATATATATATATATATATATATATATATATATATATATATATATATATTTTTAAGACATTTTATGTTTATACATTCTTTTTATAGATACAAATATTTGAGTAAATGCTGTTTATAATAAACAGTATTAACAACATTTACCGGCCTGAATGTCCGAGAAATACTTAAATATTTGTATCTATAAAAAAAAATAATGTATAAACATAAAAAACGTCTTAAAATTGTCAGTCGGGCTTTGCCCATTTTATAATATATATATATATATATATATATATATATATATATATATATATATATATATGTGTGTGTGTGTGTGTGTGTGTGTGTGTATGACTATGACTGTGTCTGTTTTTTTGTGTATAGATAGATAGATAGATAGATAGATAGATAGATAGATAGATAGATAAAAACATGATTATATTTCTTAGGGAAGGTTATTCATTATCGTTGATAGTGTTTATAGTATAGACGTGAGAATCAGCAGTGCATGATGAGGGTCAGTTTCAGACATATATTCACTTCATAGTTTTGGATATAATTTTTTTTTATAATATCTGAAGATCTCATTGAGTCGTGAATCTAACAATCACCATGCATTGTTGATTCTTTGTTCTCTTTTCTCTCTCTAATTCTCTCTCTCTTTCTTTCTCTCTCTCCGCACACACACACACACACACACACACACACACACACACACACACACACACACACACACACACATATATATATATATATATATATATATATATATATATATAGGGATAGACATCGCTAAAAGATATCTGGTGAAGTTCCCTTATGAACATTTTCTTCAGATTTCAGTTATGCTATATAACACTGCTTTCATTCACATGGACACACACACACACACACACACACACACACACACTTAAACATATCTATATTTGCGTATGTTTATATGTATGTGTGTGCCTGTTTGTGTATATATGCATGTAGGTTTTTTAGAACTGCCTGCACATCTAGTCCCGCGGGATATATTTTTTTAACAATTTAACGAGTGAACTTCATGTGCAATTAAATAACACCGTCAAACCCAGAAGCAAAACATATAATACTCGTCAAAATTCTTTAAAAAAAAAGATTCCAAATAAGGAATATGCTCCTTTTGAACATGTTTCTTTTTTTCATCCCAGGAATCACTCTTTGCTGTAGTAGACTCCCACCTGGTTGTTTTCCAGAACGCTACAATCTATTCCTCTTCAAATCAATCACCACTTGTTATGTATTCCCCATATTCGCATAAACTTCGCTTCCTAGATTTTCATTAACATCCCACACCTCGTTCGGCTAGTCTTTACCTTCGGTTGCTCTTGAGCCTTGTGTTGAGTGAGCATTCTTT